GAGTCTTGATTTCACACTGGATATCTGGATTAAGTCCTTCGATAAATGTACCCACCAGATGTCGTTTGGATTAGTCTCTGGCTTGATTTGACAGTCGTTTAAATCTGCTATGATATTCTAACATTATAGAAGTTTGACGAATTTTGGTGAATTGCCCATCAACATTCTCGTATTCAGATGGTCCAAAGCAAACAAGAAGTCCTCTCTTGAATTGCTCCCACGAGGGGACCCCGTGATAGGTTTCGTACCAATCATACCATTGGATTGTATCTCCATCTAGTTGGATCGAAGTTATTTCCACCTTAGATTCTTCTGGAGTTCTGTAAAAACAGAAAAAATTTTCTGCCCTAGAAATCCAACTGGTTGGATCCTCATCTTCCCATCTTGGAAATTCCAACTTCATGCTTGGGTAGCTTGTGTCATGTACTTGGTGCCTTTTTCCTGTGTCTCCAGATGGATTCAATGCCGGACTTGAGCTTTTATCTTGTTGAAACTTGCTGAAGTTTTTCAATAGTGTCCTTTTGAAATCGTTAAGAGTTTCTTGCAATTGATTCTAAATTCTGGCTTCCAAGGCTTCTAGTTGGGCTTTCATTGAATTGTTGATAGCTATTGTATAGGAATGCAGATTTGCAATTCTCAACTCTTGTTTCTGGTGTCGGGTTAAGGGCATCAGCACTATTCAGTGCAGCTGTTGTGACGTTGGTCGGTAGTAGCGTTGTGGGTGTGAAGGGTGGCTGCAAGGATGCCGATGAAGCCTTGGACGCCAAGAGGCTAGGAGGCTGCGATGGTGGCACGACTGGGAGCGGCGTCGCCAAGGGCTCGCCGCGGTCGCTGGGAGGCAATCGCGCGGCTGTGGCGAGACGGGACGCTGGTGACCACAAGGCTGTGACGGGCGCTGGCGATCCTGGCCTGGGGGCGACGAGGGTGGTCCGCTGGCTATCGGGGAAGAAGAAGGTTGCGGGAGCGTCGAGGGTCCCTACGAGAACCCTAGCCTTCTGTGCGAGAGTGTTGGGAAGTCGCACCTATCGCTCGGCAGTGGCGTGTTCGGGGGTTACGGCGGAACGTCGAGCCGGTGGAGATCGACGATCAGCATGGGGATTGTAGATCAACGGCTGGAAGGAGATGCTGACAGCGTCGTCTTCGACGAAGGCGCGATTGAGGAGAGAGATGGCAGCGGAGTTGGTGCTGAAGGAGAGGAACAGGGAAGAGCAGTGGGCACTAGTTGAGGGCGGCTACGACGGGAGATGAGATGTGGGGAGTTACAACGGGAATGTCGAGGATCCCTGCTCTGATATCAGATGATAAGATTCCTAGGGTTTTATCATAGAAGAGGAAGAAAGGGATCGACCTCCTAGGGTTTGCCAAAGGCTGAAATGTTATTTTCTTGATATAGAAAAGAAGCAGATACATCCATATTTTATACAGTTCCACTCCTGAATCCATTAAGACTTGGACTTCTAATCAAAATAATAAATCTCAAATAAGACCCCTAACCGACTCTTACTGGAACTAGAAAACTCAATAGAACATTACATCAGTTTAGGACTTAGAAACTCAGAAATTGAAGGGTTCCTAACAAGCCCTTCCTTTTCTGTAGCATGACCAATCGTCCTCCCCATAACTTGATCCTGAAAAATACAATGGGATGGAAAGAAAGTTATGTTGTATTTTAAATCTCTAGTAATTTGATGAATTGACAAACTGCTTACTAAAAGATAAGGCACATGCATTACAAACTTTAAGGAAATGGAGGGTGTTAGTGTAATTGTGCTTTGGCCTGCCACAGTGGCTAAACTACCATTAGCAACTTTAATTTTTTGATTTCCAGGACATGGGCTAAGGGATAGAAAGTGGTAAGATGACTTGGTCATATGGTCAGTGGCTCCTGAATCAATTACCTAAGATATATTCCAATAGTCTTTAGTGTCATTTAAAGCATAAGAAATAGGATACTTACTGATTGAGCCAGAGAACAAGAGGCACCGGGTTTGTTTAGTGAAGTGAGGAAACTTTGAATCATTTCAGTCTCCTCTTTATTTAGTCCCTCAATCTCAGAGTTAACAGACACCGAGCTTCCATGGATTAAGGTATCCTCATATTGAGTGTAGTTTGCTTGACCTCCTCATTGTCCATCTGGTTGTTGTATTCAATTCCCACCATTCTTTCCATAGAATTGTGGTTTTTCGTGTAACGTCCAAAGTGTCTCCTTGGTATGCCTTGGTTTTTTGCAATAAGTATACCAAAGACCATCTTTGTTGCTTGGCATTTTAGATGGCTCACCTTTTTCAAGATTAATCTTAGAGGTTGTACCACCATGAGTGTTCAGATGGCTCTTAATTGTAGCAATTGCGGAACTTTCACTTGCTGGACCGTCTAACGTTATGTTCCTCCTTCCTTCCTCGGTCCTGATGATTGAGAAGACTTCATCTAGAGATGGTAGGTCATTTCCAAGTACTTGAATAAATCCTTGAGCATATTCCGCGTTCAGTCTAGCTAAACATTGAAAGTTCCTTTCTCTTTCAACAATCATTATTAACATAGCATCCTCTTCACTACACTTCATCTTAACATTTTGATAATAATCAAGTTCAAGCCACAATCCTTTCATAATATTATAGTACTCAATTACAGATGAAGTACTTTGCTTTGTGGAATGAATCTTGATTTTAATCTTCTAGTTCTGCACAACATCTTTCACTTTAGAATATGCTCGCTTCACTGTCTCCCAAATCTCCTTTGATGTAGATAGAAACATGCATGTTTTGCTGATCTCTGGTTGTATTGAGTTCCAAAGCCATGTCATGTTCATCAAATCTTCTTCATGCCAAGCAGCAAAATACACGTCATCTTTGCTTGGTATTGGTCCAATTAAGTGCCTCAACTTTCCTTTTCCTTTTAGACCAAGTAGGCTCTGATACCAAATAGTTTCGACCAAAGAAAAAGATCTTTCTGACCTTGTATCAAATAGGCTCTGATACCATATAGAAAGGAAACTCTATTGATTCATTTGATTAAGAGAGTATCAGAAAATTTATAGGGTTACAAATTTGACGAATAAAGAAACTAAATCATACAAAATCAGGAAACTAATCTCTTGAAAAAATAGGAAACTAATATTTACAGAATCAGGAAGATAATCTCCTTGGAATCAAGAAAATATCTTCTTCGAAATTGGGAAAGTAATTTCCTCACAAAAGAGGAAATAATCTCCACAAATCAACACTACCTTGTGAAGATCAGATATTACTTTTCAAGTAAAGGAATAATCCATGGTATCACCATTTTCGTGACTTGGAGTCATGTCTGATATATAATGTGTAATAAGTCATTCAGAATTTATATATGAACTCTCATAGTATAGAGGGTAGGCCTTGGTTTCTGGGTAAAGTTGCTTCCTTGTGATCCCAGTTGCCAAGATTTGTGTTCTGAAAACAGTTTCTTTTCTGTAGGAACAAGACTGAGTTATGCCAAACCCTTAAACCCTGCATTGGCGGGAGCTTTTAGCATTTTTCCACCCCTTGTAGACTCTCCTAGAGTTTGGAACCATAGTATTATTTGTTACATGTCCTAATCAAACCTGAGTCAACTTGTTCATTCAATTTTATCATTTTTCTTGTTTGGAACTGTATTGATCTCTAGGGTGTGTAACTGCACCTCAAAAGCGTTGATATTCCTTTTAATATCATCTTTTTTACCATGGTCCATAGTCTGATGTCTTTCACAGATGAGGGTAGAGACAATCAAATAGCTAGACTATAGGCTTTAAGTCGTTCGAGCCTTTGCTTGCTGGAGCTTAAAGTTTACAACTCTCTTTGAGAACATGGGTATTTTACAGTAAAGAGAATTTCCACGGTTTTCTCATTTTGGTGGTACAGAAAGGAAGTCCTCTTTGTAGATAGCTAAGAACTCATTGTGTTGTTCCATTTAGTCACATAAATATCACTAGATTTAAGTCCATGAATCTCTTTGAACAGTTCCATTTTATGTACATCAAGATTTAGAGTCTGTTGGATCCCTTTCAGACATTGCCATGGTATGTAATTACTTGTGTTGTTCTGAATTTGTCTTATGTTAAGATGTATTACAAGAGTATGATTTTGTGGAGTTTCAGATCAGAATATCTTCTGCTCTTAACTGATTTTCAGTTGTTTAGGGCATTGCTTGTGGGCAAACACTATTAATCTGAGGTTGGCTTTGGAAATAATTGCATGTAGATAAATTGAAAAATTGGAGAGACTACATAACTTTTATATTTGATAATTGTTAGATATTGGAGACACATTGACTAAGTGAAACTACGGACAATGATGGACCTATTCAGACCAGTTTACAGACAACCGATCTAATTTAGAAAAATAGTGATCCAGGCTTGGTCCAGCCCGAATTATCCTGTTGACATTCTGTACAAGGCTGGTGAGGCTCATTCTTTTTTATAATAATCGTGATCAAAGCCTGAACCGATCTATTTCTCATGTGGTGGTTAATTTGAGTTTTAGACATGAAAACTGCAATTTAAGTGATAGAGCTAGGTATAACTAAAAGTTCAACTAATTATTTTATGCAATTATTACGTATGTCAATTTTTTTCCCCATAAATTGAAAGCTCTTTGGAGTTATTACCTTAATTACCATTTACCAAAACATCTGAATGTTCCATAGTTTAGATTGTGCAGTTCCCAATATAACCCACTTTGAATTGAATAGACCAAAATGCCGTGGCCAATTACTGTGTAGGCAAAGGCATCCTGGTTCAAGATCTTTACTTTATGAAAAGAACTCCTTTGGTTTTTTTCGCTTTCTTTTTAACTTCTGGCTTTCGGTGACAATATGTTTTACATACTTGCCAGATATTTATGTTGAATTGTATGCTCAAGTTGTCTACTTTGCTTAATTCTCTTCCTATTGTAATTTCAAAATTCATAATTTGTTCTAACATCTAAAATTTTCCCTTTGAATTGAACAAAAACAATTTAATCATGAAGTTTCCTGATCGTTTGCAGCATACAGAAGGATCCTAAACAGCGGTTGTCATCATTGGAGCTTCTGGTTAGTGGTTTTGTGTTTTCTTTTCTATAGTACTCTAATTACTGAAATATTAATGTGTTCTTGCTGAACTTTCAGTCTCATCCATTCATCAAAAAATTTGAGGACAAGGATATTGATCTGGCGATCCTTGTTGGCAGCTTAGATCCTCCTGTAAATTTATCCGAGTGATGTTTGGTTCTGTTATGATTCCTGCTGTATCCGTACAATCACAATTTGGGTTCGAGGTCTTGCAACCCGAGTCTGGGGCCTTGCAGCTAATTGACTTTCCTGCTTTAATCATGGTATAATTTGGCTGGCTGAGTTGCACATGAAGAATATATGTGAGTTGCCACTTGTGTACCTTCCGCTTTGAAGGTGCTATCTAAACCCATGCTAGGTATCTGAATCGTACCCAGTACCATTGAGACTCGAGATTCATTGCCGATCCATAAATTTGAATTTTCTGGTCCATGGCTGATGAGTTGTGCAAGAGGCCAATGGATCTTGTCATGCAGAGATGAAACTTTCATTTAGCAGCTGTTTTCTTATTTATCCTGGGTAATGTACTAGACTTATACCGTTGAGAACTCAGTGGAACAAACTCATTGACATTTACTCTGAGAATCATTCTTGATCTTATGCATATGGCTTCAATATATAGAATATAAATGTATATTATATGTTAATCTATGATCAGATTACTGAATAGATTGTCAAAATGAAATTGGCTACATATGTCTTGGTGTTTTCTTTTCACTTGGGCATTTTTTTTATGTTCCTTTAGTGGAACTTTGTTTCTCTCAGATGGAATTTATCTGCATGCTATATTTGTTTTCCTTAGCGAACATGTAAGATGATGCCATTTCTGATGACACAATCTGCCCCATTATTTAGAAGATTATTAACCGATGTATCTTTTAAAAGTGCCAACAAACAGATTTAAATATAAAATAGATATGATATGCTCTTACGATCTAGGATATTTAATTTTAAAATATGATTTTAATATCAATTGTAATTGTAAGCATAAAATTATTATTATGTTATTATGTGAAAAATTTTAATGCTAGAGATTAAAATCAAATAGATCCAATATTATGATTATGTATTTTATTTAGAAAATTTTTATACTACTATTCATATTTGAAAGGTTGATTTGCAAAGAGAACTATGTTTGCCTTTTTATTTTTTTCTGGGATTAAGGAGAGATAAGACTAATTTTTTCTATCCTTTATAAGACTAATTTAAGCGATGGAATTAGAATAGGGATTAAAGAGAGATAAGAGAAGACTTATAATTTCTTCACATATAACTTAAAATCACATAATCTTATCATAATTTATTTTTTTGATTGGCCAATAATTATAATTAAAATTGATGTATCTTATCATAGGATCACATAAGATAATAAATTTATCTCAAATCGATTAATATGTTAGACCTAAAAAATTTAAAATTAACTAATATAAAAATAATTAATTTAAATATAATAATAAAATATTTTAAAAATATAACCCGAATATGTAATCACTTCCTAATATGAGATGGTGTTATGGCCAAAGTTATCCTTTTTGTGTGCATATTTTTCAACTACGAATAGTAAAATGGTAAATTTAATATAATATATCTTAAAGAAAAAAAATCTAAAATGATTATACAATTAAATCAATCATCAAATAAAAAAATTAAAATGTCCAATCAGCTGTTAATCAACAGGTAAAACATTTAATCAATCCAAATTTAAAATAAATGAGTCTTTTTCTTCTACGTATTTCTAACACCGGATACATGCCACGAGGTGAACCTTGGGTTGCTCGTTGGATGGACTCAAACTTAGCTTAATTTCATTCGCTATGGACGTGAACATGGTAGACCGATTTCAACCAAGGATCCAACTCCTACTAACCCACCCTAGCTGGTAGACACGAAAGAAAAGAGGCTGACATACTTGAGTTGAGCTTTGGTGACTTCCAGTTAGTTTGCACAAGGAAAAAGACTGGTAGCTCGAGGAAGGAGACCATGGAATTTGTCTTCCACAGCGCACACTTGTTGACAACCTATTCTGTGGGACAAATTGCTCTCTTTGGGCCCCCTCTCCCGTCAATCTGACCTTCCTCTGATTCCACTAATTAAGGTTGAAGATGGATGAAGAATCAACTGCCAAATTGGACAGCTGACTTATCTCAGGGGGACATGCCCACTAAAGTTGTCCTTGGAAAATTGATGCCTGACATCATGCCTGACATCAATCCATGGCAATTGGCAGGACAAAGGCTGGGTAAAGTGGGAAAGAGAGAGAGAGAGAGAGAGAGAGAGAGAGAGAGGCATACAAGAAAGGATATGGATGAATCCTACGGCAAAGAACTTATCCATTACAACCCAAATAAGAGAGAGATAATGAGGAATCCTTGAAACCAGGAGTGACAATGGCAAAAGGGGCACCACACCTTAACCACCACCTCAATGTAACCCTGGTGAATGAAGTAAACTCATCATGTGACCTGGCGATGTCTTCACAAATTGACCAGTTTTTGAGTCTTACCTAATGAGCTGCACAAGGGAAACGAACTAGAAAAAGGCCATGGATTCCATCCACATACTTGATAGTAACAAGGTACTGTGGTCACAATTCAGAATAACCACAAACACACAGAATTTCCCTGGGAGCATTAAAGCCTTGAGCTATATATTGTGGTATACCAGTGATTGGACTCAGATGACATTGTTAAGAGAGAGAAATAAACCAGAAAGAAAGCGTCTACATCCTTCAAACCATTTCAGAAGTTCTTCCATAACCAGCAAAAAGCCATCTCTAAGTTTGTACATGGGTGAAGGTCTCAAGCAAAGCTATGATGAAGAGCTATTCAATTCTGACTCCTTTCCGAGTAACTCTGATGACAGCGACGACAATGATGACTCCACAGAAGGAGCAGCTTCTTCCTCACCATCAGCCGAGTCATCCTGGCTGCCACCAAAGATGAATTCAAATGGACCTCTATATGAACTATCTTCACTCATGGAGCAGCTACCCATCAAGTGAGTATCTGAAAGAGTCTGTCCATAAACTGATAAGTTTCAAGGATCTGAAAGTTACATAGAACTGGCCACTAAAGCTCAGACCACACAGCATTCACAAGAATAAGTCTTACCTTCTGCTTCATCTCAACAAGTTTTGATGAAATTGCAGGAGAGGGCTGTCCAAGTACTATCAAGGCAAATCACAGTCCTACACATCACTGTCTGTGGTTAGCAGCATCGAGGATCTGCCAAAGAAGGAGACTCCATGCAGAAGGAAGATAAAGCCGTGCAAGAGTTATGCAGCAGGAATGGATGCGAGCCAGAAGTCTGATCATGCTCCCGGGTCATGTAGCAAGACCATATCAAAGAATGCTCCCAAAATACCTTCTTCTTGTGCTTCTCTGATGTCAAAAAGCATTAGCAGCCTTCTTGGTAGCAGCAAACCAACTCCTGTCCCTGCACAGAAAAATCCATGTCCTCGTTAAAATCCATTCATATACAGTTGATGTTCAGATGGGAGCAATTCTTGTGTCATGTTTCTATTTGTCTAGTGGTTATGAAGTTCTTTGTTTTCTATGATTTGTACAATGTTGCTATCGAATGATGAGTTCCAAAATTTTCAGACTTCGATGTTGTTTCAAATTCCATTGGAGGTGCTTGAAATAAAAATCTCTCTTATCCATTAGTATATATTGTGCAAAGGGAACTAACTGCCTACAGATTGTTGCTTATCCACAAGATCCTGCTAGCTTGGCCCTTGGCCTACAAATAGGTGGTTAACACATAATTCATTTGAGTTTGGATGCAAATGCTCAGGCTAAGAGTTCATGTTCTTGCTACCATCACCAAGAAGACTGACGTATCCACATATGAGATTTTATGCATTTAGAACAGGAGTTTATCTAATTATGCATATTACATATGTACATAAAAACAATAACAACCAAAACAAGGTTGAATTCCAACTAGTTGGGATCAACTTTATGAATCCTTTTCACCATTTAGCTCAAAGTAAGACAATACTAAACATTTCACATAAACAAACCATTATGAATTACTTTCTGGACATGAGAAAAGTTGGGACTATGGATGGATACCTTGCCTGATGCTATGGCAGAATATTTGAGATTCGCTAGAGTTTGACAAGGAGACATTATTCGATGCTTTAAAAGCAATGCCAAGGATGCTTCCATCAGCACAGATCCTGAAAGTATTCTATAATTCCCCATTTCATAAAGGCTTAAGGTGGTATCCTGCTGGCCCACTGTCATTCATAAATCTGCTTCTCTGGTTGGAGGCAGAATAGAAGAAAAAGAAAAGAAAAGAGAAGTATTTATTTCTAAATATCCTCAGCAGATAGCTAAGACACTGTTTTAAGGTCAATGCTTATTTACAGGATTCCTATGCCACCTACTACTACTGCTGAACCTCCTTTACTGCTACCACTGGGACTGAACTGTTGCCGCTGCTGCTAAATGTGATTGAAAGGAGGAGGAGAGGAAAAAGAAGGTGAAGATGCATGCATTACAACAAAACAAATCCACATCTCGGGTAAATATCATTCACAGGATCATTTTTTTCAAGACTCTTATCATCAATGGCATCTTTAAAAAAAGTCAAGTGAACCTGTAGGAAGCACCAAAAAAATTCATGAGAACACAAGCAAATAAATGATAAATCACAGAATCATTGAAGCAAATTCACGATCCTTCAGCTTCATGAAAGTAAGGAGATCACCAAATATTTCCAACATGATTACTGGAAAGAATTATGGTTTGAAGTCTTCACATAGTAGAATAGTCTCAAACCAACTAGCAAAAATCTCAAAGCTTAAGCATGGTAATTCGCATTTACATGAAGCATGTAATACATATCAGTAGAACGACTTAAAGCTATAAAGATAATGTAGTGGCCACAATCAGGAAACAAAACTGAGATCACCAATTTACTATTGTATTCTGGGCTGGCACAACCAAAACTACATATTCCAATGTCAAAGCAACTCCTCAAATAGATATTAGAGAATAAGTACTTTTAAGATAAAAAGGACTGTACCAAAATCACATCATAGAGATACCTTTTCAAAATAAAGAATGTGTTTTCTATCAAATTGCTCTCCACTGAAACAGCTGTAGTCCACTAAATATGTCTTCCAAAATAAATATAGGGCAATCACATCTATCAAATTGCCAAACTATTCATATTAGCATTTTTCAACTTTGCATTGTAGCTCATAAGTGCAATAGAAAGTAACATGCTATATTGCCTGTTTGTGGTTGAGAAAAATAATAAAAGAACAGGATTGGTCATGATGAGATGAAATGCAAGAACACATCAGATGGTGGTAGAGTCTAGGCAGAAAGCACCAATGCTACAGGTTATCATTGAAAGCAACCTGGTGTTTTTATTGTGGATTCTTGCTGGAATATTTACATGCTGCAAGACATTTGCCAAGTATTGCTATGACCTGGCCAAGTTGAAAAGATCCAAGGTAAATTATTTATGAATATGATGACATCCACAAAGTGTATAAAATTTCCTGCAATTACATTTCACAGGTTTAGGTTTGCTTCCATTCTAGTAATATCACTTGCCAGCTTCTATTACTCATTAGAAATTAAATAATTCACCTAGATGCCATAAATATAGATAGTAGTCGTGTGCCAACCAGTATATCAAGATGTTTGAAATATTTTTCTGTTTAAACCTTAACCCTACTCTTCTGACATGTTAGAAGTGACAATGATCATTAATCAGCTTCATGATCTGCATTTATTACTACACTTCCCCTATTCACTCTGGCTAATTCGTGTACTTTCTTGGCCCCCCTTCTCCCTCGTAACACAATAAATGAAAATATTACAATAATATCCAAACCTTTGCATTGCCAATATGCATCAGCAATCTTATGACAATATAATTTCCCTTGACCCGTCAAGACTATAGCTTAAAAGGTTGATGGTCCATTCCATTCTTCTACTTACCAAGACTTCAGCCAACAATAATACAGTGGCAGGATTGATAAGAAACAAAATAAAGTTACCAGCTATATTTATTCCTCAAACAGTCATTTATTTTTGAAATCAGGAATTTTGTGTCCCACAAAAAATCATGCTAATTCCAACTCTCTTGTCATCCCAGATGAGATGGTATCGGTATCTCACATCCTTCACATGTGATGACATCAAGTAAATCCCCAAGTAATCCCTAACCAATTCTTGCGTTGACTCGAAATAATCCCCAAGTTGCAAAATAATAAATTTAGCAATTTTCAGCTATTCATTCATAAAGTAGATACTTTTTTTTTTATGAACAAAATGAGAAATTACAGCAGAAAAAAGCAAATGTTTCGATTTACTGCCAGATAAATAGAAGGTTACGTCGACAAAAGACTGGTCAAAGTGAAATCACAGTTCATCAAGATATCGCAAATGAGGAACAAACAAATGATGGGATTTGGGAGCGTTTTCCCTTGTTACAGAGCGCCATTTCGAGGGACATCGACAGAAGAAGCACCGGGAGGCGACGTCGGATTGTCTCCATCGCTGGGGTGTCCTTGGTGGAGTCGGTCCAAGGCTTCCTGTGCACGCTCGAGGTAGGGCTTGAAACCCACTTGGAAGGAGAGGTAGCCGAACGCTACGGCTCCCACCACCACCAGGCCCGCCCTCATCGCGTTCTGCCGTGCTCGCCCTCCCCTCCCCATCTCTGTCTCTCTCTCTCTCACAACTCGCACACTGTTGAATGATGCCGACGGTGGACGAACGAGAGAAAAGAAGTCAACTTTGCGATCGCATCTGTCAACCTCGCTCGGTTCACATCATAATATACTGTTGTATATGGGCCGGCCTACATAAACAAGCCCATATTAACCCATAATTAGGCCCATGGGTTTTCCATGGTTAATAGTAAACAGTTATCTCATTTCTAAGTAAATTAATATAATTCGATGTTTTTGTTATTTATTATTATTTTTTAAAAATAACTTAATAATTTAATATTTCAATATGGATTAATGCAACATCAACACACAAATTAACAGGACATTGTTGTTTTGGTTTTCCAGACAAAAACCTCTATTAATGCGTAAAATAAAAATATATTATACATGTAGGCTCGTGAGGTGGGCAACAAGAATGTCCTGTTAAAGTAAAAATATGTTGGATCGAATCGGCCGAACCGGGCAAACAAGGTAACGCCGTCAACAACGACGTCTGCCATTGCTGTGCTACAGAATATAAGTCTCGAATCAGAAGGGGCACTGAGTAACGGCGTTAAGATTGCCTCCTTTTTTTCGTCTCCACGGGAGTATAAAGCCACACACTCGGTGACTGCCCCTTCCTCACCTCGCCTCGCTTGTATCTTGTCTCCGCCGCCCCTCGATCCTGGTCAGGGCGAAGGCGAAACCTCTCCCACTACGATACGATCATGTACCGAGTTGCAGTTTCGCGCCTCAGGGCACTAGAGGTTTGTCCTCCGGGGCAGAAACCCTAACCCTAACATTTCGTTTACGCTGTGTAATTGCTACCGGTTGTCGCGATCTTCTGTTCTGATGCGTTATTTCCTGGATTTTGTTCTTGTTCATGGCCTCGTTCTGACCAAAATGTGGTTTCTGATTGAATTTCTGAAGACGGAGAAATGACTTCTCATTTTCAAGTCTATATACACGCACGCGCATTCTGGCCTACTTGGTGGGGTTAGCAAATGATCTTCGAGCTTTTTGTTTCCTTAGGTGCACTTGGTGTTTTATGGGTTTCCTTCATTTCGAGGATAGAGATTCATCAGCTTGCCATCCGTAGAAGAGATGGATCGTGGTTGTACAATTTCATAGGTTGTATTTGTCTCAAGTGATAATAGTCAATCATAACATTGATAATTGATATCAGTTTGATTATAGTAGAGAAGTTTGGATCATGGTTGATTAATCAAAAGCTGGTCAAGATGATTTTCTTTTTTGCGTGACATGGAGCATAGTTGAATCAGATGAGATGTTGGGCTTGGGTATCTGTGGATGTGGTATGAGTGGATGGCTGCTTACTGGACTTGGTTTAAACTTGATTGAAAGAGTGACTTGTTTTTGGTTGATGTGTAGGAGAAAAATGTGGTGAATTTACTTTCTAGCTTATGTGCGGGGTATGCATGAAGGTTCATTTTTTGTGTAAATTTTGTTTTGTGAGTTCTAACATTGTAGGCTATTATATATTTTTCTTGTCTTCCTTATCCTATTAATAATGCTTTTTAGAGAATGATCTGGAGGAAGCTGAAACCTGAAGTTAAAAAATGGAAGCATCAGAAGAAAACATCTGCATAACATGATACTGTTGCTGTTCATGTCACTTTTGTCTGAACTTTTCTGCATGGGACATTCGGAAGCACAAACTGGAAAGAATATCCTGAGATAGACATAAAGCATAAGCCTTTGAGGAATGTATAAATTCCTTGCACAATAAATATTGCCACAATTGATTCTGATCCTTAAGTTAGTCAACCTTCTTTAAAGTTCAGCTCAAGGTGTCAACATGAGTCACAGTTTTTCTGAAACAATGTTGTTTTCTGAATATCTATAGCAAAACTTCTTGTTGTATGAGACATGGGGCTTGGGTGACAATGACCTTATTTATGCCTCTTCTATATCATTAGAGTTGAAATTGCTTTTGTTCATTTGGATGCCCTTTGCTTGTTTTTCTTTGAATCCTTTTATTACTGATTGATACTTCTATTTAATAGCTAAAAAAGCTTTCAAAAAGGTGCAGTAGAGAATCATAGGTGGAAATTTTTGGCTTTATGTACTGATTTTTGTATTGAATCTGTTACTTCAAGGTTCTCACTATGTGTGAAACAAAGCTCTCATAATTAATTTCTTCCATCTGAGTAATTTGAAAGTTATTGAGCTATGTGTTCACTTTTCAAACTAGGAATTTTGTAGTAAACTGATGATGGAAGAGTTATGGAGTTAACTTTTGAGTCACTTATGTGCGTTACAGAGCTAACTTTCGAGTTAATTATGTGTTTTTTACTGCTTTTAATGCTCCTTTTGTTTAATGGAATTTTCATCATATTCTATAGTAATTTTATTCTACCTCTCTGTTAAATAAAACATTGGAAATGGTTTAGTTTTTCACTTTTATTTCTATTGAACATTATCTCTTCTTCAGATATTTTTAACCATATCTTAATATTGTCACTTCTTTATCAGCATCATGCACGTGCAACTAGATATGCAAGTACGAGTGTTGCAAAAAGATCATCTGGTGGTTTCTTTAGCTGGCTTACAGGAGAACAGTCTAGTCAACTTCCTCCTCTAGATTTCCCACTTCCAGGTGTGATGCTTCCTCCACCTTTACCCGACCATGTAGAGCCAGGGAAGACAAAGATCACAACTCTTCCAAATGGTGTCAAGATTGCCTCTGAAACATCACCAGTATGTTCAATGTTGTCTTCTTTGTTTATTTCCCAACAATTGTCTTTTCATCTAATTGAACTTGTTTGGGTTCAATTATCAGAACCCAGCTTTCTCGCTTGGGCTATATGTTGACTGTGGTTCTGTGTATGAAACACCCTTATCATTTGGTGCTACACATCTCTTGGAGCTCATGGCTTTTAAAAGCACAACAAACAGGAGCCATTTACGCATTGTGCGTGAAGTAGAAGCAATTGGAGGCAATGTCATGGCATCTGCTTCTCGTGAACAGATGGGTTATACTTATGATGCTCTCAAGACTTACATGCCTGAAATGGTAGAGGTGCTAGTTGACTGTGTCAGAAATGCTGCTTTCCTAGATTGGGAAGTTAATGAACAGGTACTCTCTGGTGTCTGATATTCATATATCTGGTTTTGTTGGTGGAAATTGTTGATCTGTTTTTGGCTTGTCAATACAGTTGCAGAAAGTAAAAGCAGAAATAGGAGAAATTTCAAAGAATCCCCAGGGTTTGCTTTTGGAGGCTATTCATTCCGCTGGTTATTCTGGTGCATTAGCGAATCCTCTCATGGCTACCGAATCTTCAATAAACAGATTGAATAGTACTACTTTGGAGGAGTTTGTTGTGGTAATTTCAAGCTAGTTGTCACCTTTGACATTTTAAACAGTGATGGTTTTCTTGTCTGACATTTTCCTTTATTATTGTTTTGTGGAAATTCTAGGAGAACTATACAGCTCCTAGAATGGTGCTTGCGGCATCAGGTGTCGAGCATGAAGAGTTGGTATCAATTGCTGAACCACTGTTATCAGACCTTCCCAAAGTGCCTCGCCCTGAAGAGCCAAAGTCTGTTTATGTTGGTGGAGACTACAGATGTCAAGCAGATTCTGATGTTCGTACTACACCATATTTCATTTTTTTATTCATGTAATATATTTTTCCATTTTAGCTTCATTCATTAATTCATTTGTTTAAATTGTCTTTTGGAAACGCCCCGTCTGAGAACAGAAGACACATGTTGCTCTTGCTTTTGAGGTTCCTGGTGGTTGGCGTCAAGAGAAGGATGCCATGACACTTACAGTGATTCAGGTTCAAATCAAATTTATCCTGAACTTTCCACACATAGTTGGGGATGATGCTCAGCCTGCTGTTCTTGTTATCTGCTTTTACCAGTTATTTTTTCTACCTTGTAATATTGTTGTTTAGATATTGTCCAGAACAAATCTCTTTTTTTAATATTGTTGCAGATGCTTATGGGAGGAGGAGACTCTTTTTCTGCTGGTGGTCCTGGAAAAGGAATGTACTCTCGGCTATGTAAGTTGTGAACAATATTTATTATCTGGTGTTATTGGCTGATCTACCTATTAGGTTGCCATTTCATACTTCCATTGGCTTCATTGAATTTTTAGTTAATCTATAAATTTGATGTACTCTTTCACCTAAGAGCCACAATATTATTCTTATCCACTAACATCTAAGTTTGGACTTTTGAGTTATAACTATAATGTTTTTTGCAGATCTTCGTGTCTTAAATGAACACCAACAGATCCAGTCATTCTCTGCTTTTAATAGTATATACAACAATACTGGCATATTTGGGATTCATGCCACTACTGTGAGTCATTATTTTATTTGTCAATTGTTTTCGTGACATTGTTGTCCTCTTATGACATCCTCTAGACTTATTTGTCGGTGTGGGCATTTGGTCTTTATACTAATTTGTCTCTTCAGTATCTGCTACTGTGCTTCTATGAACAAACAAAAGTTCAAATGCTTTATTGTAATTCTTAGATGTTACGTTGAGTTTATTAATAACATATGTTCTGTTGTGAACATTGGCTATGATTTTATAGTGAACAAAATTGAGCACTTTCCCTTGCTTAAGCATATACTGCACAACACTCTGTGGAACAACATATGGTATTGACTATGATGAAGTAATCGTTATGTTCATGAAATGAAGAATTCATAGTACGTTTGGGCAACTGATTCAAACTTCTGAAGTGGAATCAGCCAGGTTGCTTTTTTGGTCCTTCATATGATTTAGGATTGAATCTTGTTAGGGTCGAATCAATTTTACTTTCAGTAATTTGGTTTCAGTTATATGTCATATTACATCACTACGATGCAGATAGACCACTGGATATCAAGCTTAGACTCGGTCCCCGCTTGTCTGCACTAGGTTGCTGCTGGAAGCCAAACTGGGATGATAGGAGTTTGCTCGTGACTTCCTGTCCTGATCAAACAAGGAGTTGAAACTCCTGCTAGATGCAGGACAATGGCCTTTCATCTCTGCTTGGTGCTGAACAAGGGTCTTATGTTAAGTGGACAGGACTCCTGATTCCTGCTACCTGAACTCCCAGTTGGTATCTAAGGCTGAACAGGAGTTACTGCCCTAACTTTATATGTCTGTCCCTGCCTTTTTTCAGAGCATTAAAGATCTTAAAATAACAAAGGTGTCTATCAGCTGCCAAAACGCAAAAGAATAGTAGGATTTGAGGGTTTGGGGTAGCAAAATTCATACAAGTAGACATTATAAGGTTCCAGTAGAGCATCTATGGACATCTTTTACTAATTTTTAAGTTAGTTTATAGCAGTAAAATTTTCATTTCATTTTCCTAGTTTTGATCTTGGATGTCTTGCTCCCCTAAGTAGAAAAACTTAGTTAAGAGGGTGAAGTCCTATTGATCTGGTATTAGAGGAGAAAGTGATTGATGCACTAGATATCTTTTATATGGATAACCATGGCTCTGGAGTTGTCAACCGACATAACATACGTTGGATAAAAGCACCCATGTCGTCATCTGCTTCTGATGATGTATTTGCTCAAGTTCTGCAGCAGCTTCAAAGACTATTGGCTAGCGATCAAAGTGCTTGCCACTAAATTGGGAGAGCTTGATGAAAGACACAATGTGAAGGTCACACGATACAATATAGGTGCAGTTAGGGAGAGACACATTTCCATCTCCATTAAGTGCACGCTGTCACTGCCTTGACAACACTAGTGCCAACAGTTTCATGCTACTCGTGGTAAGGAAAATGCAGAAAAACCTTTGATTAAGGAGTTGACAAAGTCATGATAGTGTAACACCCGGATAGTAAGTATATACCTTGGCAACAAGGGGAGCATAGAGGATGGTTACAGTGAAGACACCATCGAAGAGGGTAGCTGGGAAAAAGTTCTAAGAAGATAAAAAAAAAGGAGAGAAACAAAAGATCAAAAGAGAAGGGAAGAAAAGCTACATTCAAGTAAATAAGAAAGGAGAAAAAGGCATTTCCTGAAGTGCCCAAACTAAGCATGCATAGGACTCTAGGCTTAGTGGGGGAGAGAGTCATGTAAGAAGTGAAATACAATGAGCAAACAAAAATATGGCTTCCACTTATTGTTTCTGTTTAAATACATGGAATATTGACAATGCATTCAAATACTTCTGGTTAAAGCTGTAAAAGATAACTTTCCAGTACACCCATTTTCAATGAAACGTCTGTTTCTATGATACCTGACTGACAAACTGATGTTTCACTTTGATATTTAATCATCCTATTCTAAATAATGCCATCAGGTGTATGGAAATCAACCTGGCACTGCCAAATGGCAGATTTTGGATGCCTATATATCATTTGCATATTGTCTAAATAATAAACAATAATAACATACTTAATAAAACAAACTAAGCAACAAAAATCTGTCTACATGATCTCTGCAGATTCAGTTACGCTGGCTGATGTTTTCATGTGTGCTTGTTTCTATTTAATGCCAATTTAGACTTCAAAAAGTTATATCACCAAAATGGCCTCTTTATGTTCTCATCTTCTTCCATTTTGAGAGTATCACTAACAATTGGTGGTTATCAACCAGAGTTCAGATTTTGTCTCTAAAGCTATTGATTTGGCTATAAGAGAACTACATGCAATTGCAACTCCTGGACAAGGTCTGTTGTTCCCTCTTAATCTTATAGTACTTATTATTTTTAAGCCTGCATTTATCTTTTATTTTTATGTTTTTCTACAGTTGATCAGTTACAGCTTGATCGAGCTAAAGAGTCTACCAAATCTGCAGTGTTGATGAACCTGGAATCAAGAGTATGTTTTTGATACCGCTTTGAAAGATTTTGGAGAATTGCTTTGTTTTTGTGCTCATATTCAGGACAATGTCTTAATTACAGATGGTAGCATCTGAAGATATTGGGCGACAGATTTTGACCTATGGAGAAAGGTATGCCCTTAACCATCACTTTTGATGTACTGGAGTTAGATGTTGTTACAATTGCATACCATGCATGTACTTGGTGTTTTTTATTGCTGCAGTCACATTAGCAGTAGATGTGAATATGGAAATGTTTGTGTAAGATTACTGAAGAAATCTGATGCAGCCAGAATGGAGTATGCAAATGTATCATAGCTTGTGCCATTGAATAGGTTCTAAGTGTGCCATACTCTTGCAGTTTGTGTTATATGGTTTTAGTATAAGCATTCCTTGAACAAAAGATGCACCATGTAGGTTGAGGATATATAAACTCGACCTAAGCGGAATGTTTCCTAAAAGGATCCTCTTTACTAGTATAGGTTTATGGAGATCAATTAAAAAGTAACTTACAACAAGTTTAGTTAAGAGATATGTAGCCAACTATTTGGGATTAGCTATATAGATCTTTTGTTGTCAGTGAGACATGTAAATATTAATATATTTAGTTATGTTAAAAGTACTTATTGATGCGAGTAAAAATTTTTATTAAATTTTTTTAGGATATTGATGCGAGTAAAGAAGTTAGTTCAAGAATAAACGATTATGATAGCAACTTGGAATATAGAAACATTTCAGGAAAGGGATTAGAATTGGTAGATACTATGATTAGAAGAACAATAAATATGATTAGAAGAACAATAAGTTGGTAAAGGAAAAATCTAAAGAGATTGATAGAATTAGATTTAAAATTTAGTATGCTGAAAAAAAATGGTGTACGAATTGTTGTTCATAAGAATCTAAGAATAATGTTGTAGATGTGAAAAGATTTGGAGATAGTTCTAAAATGTCTTTAGAATAATATTCTAGATGTGAAAAGAATAAGGATTTTAGATTTTGCAACTTTATATGATCTTATAAATGTAAATACCCACTTTAAGAAGAGGGATGAACATTTGATTACTTATAAGAGTGGCCATTTTTTCTCACTCAAAAGGTAGATAGAGTTACATGTAAAGTTATTACTACCGAGACATAGGTTGATGTTATTAGATATTTGTTGTAAAAAATTGAAAGAAGAAAAAGATAGTAGAAAATTTTAGTAGGATTAGATGGTGGAATTTTAAAGATGATAATGGGTTTTTAAGAATAGGATGAAGGAGACGACTTGGAACTTAGATGGGGATAATGTTAATATTACTTGTAATATGATGATTAATAAGATTAGGATCTTAATAAAGGAGATTTTTGGTGAAACTAAAGGGAGTGGTATAAATAACTAAAGAGAACAGTATAGCTTTGAGAGAGTTGGTGGTGGTGTGAATAAATCAGTGATTTAAAAAGCACTAGGCGCCAAGGTCCAAAAACGCCCGAGGCGTTAGGCGCTTGCCCGAGGCGCTAAAATATAAAAATATATAATATAATTAATAAATATAATTATTTAAATAAAAATATTATTAAATTAAGAAAATCAGGTACAAAATCATAATGTCACATTAATAAAAGGTCTTAAAAATCAAAACAATAAAATTTTACATCAAATCTATTGAGTTGCTCTGTACACTTGCCATTTATTCTGAAACCTAACAATAATTTTAAATAAATAAAAATTAATAGTATTAAAATAAAAATAATATATTATTAATCTAATAAATAAAAATACTATTATTAGTATACAGTTAGCAATATACTGTTAATATACTGTTAACAGTATAGTGAGAAGAGTGTGAGAAGACCGTGGTTGCTGAGGCGGTGATAGTCGTAGTTGGAGCAAGAACGGTGAGCGGCGGTAGCAGCGGGAGCGACGAGCGATAGCGGGAGTGGGAGCGGGAGTTGTGAGCGGCAGCGGGAACGGTGAGCGACAGCGGGAACAACGACAGTAGCAGCGAGCAGCGATTGTGGCAACGGCGAGCAGAGAGCAGCGACAGCAGAGAAGAAAT